TGGAGGATAGGTCTGAGAATATCCTAGAGAGCTGGTTTAGTTATGGCAAATTTCTTCAACATGTGAATGTCATTAAAGTATTTAATTTCCCCATCATAGATGAAACTCAGTTTAGCTGGATACAGGATCCTGGGTTGAAAGTTGTTTTGCTGATTTCTATAAACTTCTTTACCACCACCCGCCGCCCCCTCCCCCGGCCCAGGACTGCTCATTATCTTTACTGGGAAGCTACCATGGAGACAATAAAACATGAAGGCCCCCTAGCAACTTTCCGTTTGCACAGCCAGGCCTGCCCACTGCCCGCTCCAGTCAGCACTCTGGCCCGAACGCAGCCGGGACTCCAAGAGCAGCACACACGGCCCGAGCCCGCGCCCCTCCGCCGGCAGCCCAGGAGCACCCCCTTCCCCCCGGCCCCGCCCACGCAAGCTTCCCGCCTCCCCGGCCCGGCGCCCGCCAACTCCCAGCCCGCAGCTCTGATTGGCCGCCGCATTCCCGCTCTCCTTCCCGAACCACCATTTTGAAAATCTTATTGATTCTAGGGAGCAGAGCGTGCTGCGCGAGCCTCACGCCAGACAGCGGTCCGCGCGCCTTCTCCTCAGTGTAGGCTGCCGCAGTCTCCCGGAGCCTCCTTGTTCCCTCCTGCGCCAGGCCCGCAGCAGCCGGGACCCGTGGTCCTCAATATGTCTTCCACAGCCCCAGTTGCGGAGGGAGAGGGCAGCACCGCCCAGCCCGCGTCCGAGAAGGAGCCCAAAATGCCTGGCCCGCGAGAGGAGAGTGAGGAAGAGGACGAGGACAACGACGAGGAGGAGGAGGAAGAGAAAGAAAAGAGTCTCATCGTGGAAGGCAAGAGGGAAAAGAAAAAAGTAGAAAGGTTGACCATGCAAGTCTCTTCCTTACAAAGAGAGCCATTTACAATTGCACAAGGAAAAGGGCAGAAACTTTGTGAAATTGAGAGGATACATTTTTTTCTGAGTAAGAAGAAAACAGATGAACTTAGAAATCTACATAAACTGCTTTACAACAGGCCAGGCACCGTGTCCTCATTAAAGAAGAATGTGGGTCAATTCAGTGGCTTTCCATTTGAAAAAGGAAGTACTTAGTATAAAAAGAAAGAAGAAATGTTGAAAAAAATTAGAAATGCCGTGTTAAAGAGCATCTGTGAGGTTCTTGATTTGGAGAGATTGGGTGTAAATAGTGAATTAGTGAAGAGAATCTTGAATTTCTTAATGCATCCAAAGCCATCTGGCAAACCACTGCCAAAATCTAAGAAAACTCCCAGCAAAGGCAGTAAAAAGGAATGGAACAGTTCTGGAATGGCAAGAAAGGCGAAGCGAACCAAATGTCCTGAAATTCTATCAGATGAATCTAGTAGTGATGAAGATGAAAGGAAGGGTCTTCAGATGATGAAGATAAAGAGAGTGAAGAGGAGCCACCAAAAAAGACATCTAAAAGAGAAAAACCTAAACAGAAAGCTACTTCTAAAAGTAAAAAAAATGTGAAAAGTGCTAATGTTAAGAAGGCAGATAGCAGCACCACCAAGAAGAATCAAAGCAGTTC